CAGGCAGATCTTTACACAGTCCTGGGGCTTTACCGAGGCCTATTCCGCTCTACAATCCTCATGGCGGTTTGCACATTATTAAACAAGCAGTGTTTGAATTACTTTCAACACATATCCAGTTTGTAGATACTAAACCATAAAGAAGTACCCCAGTTCGTAAGCTGGGAGGCCTTACATTTTAAGAAGTGGATCATTCGTCCAAGATATGAAGGTGTGTATACTTATTGGTCTTGGGATACTTATTTGGAAGCATTATATGAGTACGGCTTACCTCCTCCATTGCATGCAGTAGAAGGAACCTGATGAATGCTCCTAACCCGACACCGTATCCCAGAAGGGCGATGAGGTAATCCAGTTGACTGCGCCATTGTTCGTGAGCCATCGTTGCATCCACACTGTAACAAAATTCACAGTAACATTGAGTGTCGTGAAGTATCATCGGTGTTAGCTATGTGCTATATTTTGAATATATGCTATCAATACGATTTCAACTGGCCTGTTCATTTGCTGTAAGGTTTGATGTTGCCATAACCCTGACTTATGCACTTCTTTGTCACAGTAAGTAGTCTATCCAGCTGGGGTCCATGTAGGTAGCAAAAGTACTGTAAGTCCCCATGGTCCCTAGTATTGTGATCTACCTTCGGTTGTTGGCAATATAGCCTGTTTTTTTCTTGTCATGTATATAAAAATATTTTTATAGTTCATATGTTTTAGATTATATTACTAGTTTTACATTTATATCTGTGATATTCTACAAGCTGTTTTACTGTCCTTCATTGGCAGGTTTTAAACTTTACCTATAATTATTATTAATATATAACTTGCTATGGTCACGAGCTGCCTGTGAGGCTAATAGAACATCCAGGCGAGGGGCTAGAGGTACTAAATAGTGGCTTGTAACAACAGGGGGACGGGGGGACTAGAGGGTGGAGGCGGCGCTAGAAGGTTAAGTAATAGTCACATGACGTATCCCACCGGGTACCAATTTTCTGCTGGGTGAACAAAGGCATTTTTCAACAAACTCACCTGCCCAAGTGAGACCACATGTATCACATGTGCTTCGTTGTGGGGCAGGGGCTGTGGGACAGCCTAGTGGTTAAAGCGTTGGCTCGTCACGCCGAAGACCCCGGGTTCGATTCCCCACATGGGTACAATGTGTGAAGCCCATTTCTGGTGTCCCTCGCCGTGATGTTGCTGGAATATTGCTAAAAGCGGCGTAAAACCAAACTCAGTCAGTCAGTCAGTCGTTGTGGGACAGGACTGAAATCCTAGAAACTTTCAGGAGTCAAGCTGCCGAACACGATCACCCCATTTCAGGACGTTGCTGAACTTCAACTGAGAGACTTGAGGCTCTATCCACAGGACCACACACCACCACGACTAAACATAAAGTTGTCATTTGTCGACAATTCACAACAAAACACTCTACCAAATGTCGTACCGTCAAGCATTGTGGCATATAAAGTAAAGTGCGATCGTCCTCATGAAAGTTTAATAACATGCTATTTTTAAAAATCAATTAAAGCGAGAAAAACGTTAATGAAACGATAACTAGTCGAGCAAGCAAACATTGCCTTTGCAAACAAAACTAGTGCAGTCAGTGCAATTCGTTGGGATTGAATGAAAAAACTACACTCATTAGGCAGGATAATATTTGAAACGAGCGAGTAGCCAAGCAGATAATTGCGTCTGCACGAGGGGCACAATGGTGAGGAGCTGTGTGTGTGCTGATTTGAGATACATATTCACAATTTAGGTCAACTAATTGGATAAAGATTCGAGACTGAGACAAAACAAACCAGACTACAATGAGGAAGTTTGAGGTCAAGTATTCCACCAGTATTGAGTTCACGTGAATTCCAAATTTTAGCTTTGGGGTGAGTGAGTGAGTGAGTTTAGGGTTTACGCCGCACTCAGCAATATTCCAGCTATATGACGAGGGTCTGTAAATAATCGAGTCTGGACCTGATAATCAAGTGATCAACAGCATGAGAATCGATCTGCGCAATTGGGAACTGATGACATGTGTCAACCATGTCAGCGAACCTGACCCTCCGATCCAATTAGTCGCCTCTTACGACAAGCATGGGTTATGTAGATCAATATTCTAACCCGGACCTTCACGGTTTTAGCATTGGAATTGCAGAGACACGTGCATGATCCCAGGAGATCAACGTGCATTTGGGTTTAAATAAGATACTATATTAGTAATATCAATTTCAAATGTCCGCCTCCGTGGTGTAGTGCTTAGAGCGTCCGCCCTGGAGAGCGGAAGGTCGCGGGTCGATCCCCGACCGCGTTATGCCAAAAGACGTTTAAATATGGTACTTGTTGGTACCTGCCTGGCGCTCGGCATTAATGGGTACAAGAAGGACTAGTCGGCTCTGAGTCAGTATAATGTGTCTGAGTGGGGTATTCATGCTTCACTGCGGCATGGTATCTCAGTGGGCTAGCACTATAAAACCAGCTTAAGTCTGGGCTAGTACAAGTAGCCGCACATATACATACACACGCACGCACGTCGTCATATGAGCGAAATATTCTCAAGCACGACGTTAAACCCAATTTCACCTTACCTTCAAATGTGTAACATTTCTTTTGGCGTTCAGTATAATATCTGCAAAGGTGGAGTGTCTAATGGATGACAACTTCCACTACTATATTACGTTCCTCCACCATATATGTTTATGTCCTCAAAGAAAGTTATCTCGAATCAGCATCTTTAATCTGAATCTAATTCAGTGGTTATATGTGAAAGACGTCAATGAGATCTTAAATTTTATAATACATTTAACTCATTAACTATCCATTAACTATAGTTTGTTTTCAATATCATGTGTATTAACTTAAACTTGCCTGGACGTATAAATCTAATTAAAATGCTATTTCTCAAATAGTGTTTTTGTTTGTTAGAGCAGAAACACATACGTTCCGAACACCTGCGTTAGATATATAATTATCCCCACATAATTAGGACCATATAACTGCAGCGTAGAACTAAACTCACTCACCCTTTTCATTTATGTATTTACTGGTTAATTTTCTTCTGTGAGTTACACAGTCATATGCGATCTAATGTGAACAGGCACATGCTTGTAGAACTGCTGCAAATAGATGTTATTTCTGCAAGTTAAGGTTTCAAGCAAATTTCTAAAAACACTGAGCAAGTATTTGGCTGAAGTAGATGAATTGTTTTGGAAGTGCATATCGTTACGGTTTAGAAATTATCGTGACAAAAGTATTGTGAGTCCCCTTTTAACCAGCAAACGAGAACACGGACAAGTCTATAATGTTCAGCCATATATTGAATAAACAATAAACAAGGTCACAATGAATGACAGTACAGATTTCCAATACAATACAACTGAGTCACAAATCTAAAATATTGGGTCACAAATGTAAAATATTAACTGACCAAAGTATTTTGATATTTCCAGTAAACACAGATGTACTGTTTGAAGATTGTTGACAGCTGTTGTAATGTCAATGTAGACGAGTGGTAGGTCTCTTGAGTGGAGAAACGTCGATGTTAGCAGACAGATGAGCGTAAATCCAAAGCATTTTGTAGTCCCGTCATACATCTCAACAGCCATCCCTGTCCTCCTGAGATGGTACGTAAGTACCAAAACATTCAAAGACAATTTAAATCTATCCAACTTTTTAATCGTAGAATATGTGTTTTTTTAATTAATGCTAGATGTGTCTAAATTGCTAGCAGCTGCAGGGATGGTGTAAATCCAGCTAGGGGCCATGCAGGAAGCAAATGTACTGTAGATCCCCATGGTCCCTAGTATTGTGATCTACCTTCAGTTGTTGGCAATCTATAGCCTGTTGTTGTATTGTATTTTCTTCTGAGATTCAGCTGTTTTATAGTAACATACTAGTTTTATATTCATATCTGTGATATTCTAGTTAATTTTACTGTCCTTCGTTGGCAGGTTTTTTAAAACATTTACCTTCATGTATTCTAGATTTATTACCTGTTTTTTAGGCACGATATGGCTGAAATATTGCCGATGTGACTTAACTCACTCACTCACAGCCATCCCTTATATACCTGTTATACAGTTCTTGAGAATTCTAGCAGAAGCACGCCACTACGACCATTAAGATAACACTATGACCATTTAGAAATTTATCACAGCTTCCACAGCTTCGCAGCATCCGCGGGGACAACGACAAAGAGCAGGTAACTCCCAAGCCCACTCTTAACAGGTGCAAATACACAGCCTAAGTTCAAGGTGTGAGTTCAAATCCACGCTCAGCGCTTTAAACTTTTGTGATAATAATAACTAAAAGTTACTTAATGTGACATAATTAACAAAAACACATCCTCATAAGAATACATCTTGTAGGAAGCCGAATAGTTGTCCATAATAATATGTCAATAGGCTTACATGTTCAAGAAAGTTACAACAATGAAAATAATACCATACAGGTGGATTTGTTAACGTTGTATTTTAGTTGTATCATTTTGGCTTTTGTCCTCAAGAAAACAAACGTTACCTCTAGAATGCCAGTTTGGGTAAAAAAAATTCGTAATTTTCCCTAAAATTTTGAATTTATTCATTTTAAAGCTTGAGTACTAAAGTACTTAGGAAAAGAAACGTGCATTAATTGAATGTTTTTTACCTTTAGTGTTACAAAATATTCTATTTTCTTATTTCCTGCTATTGCTCCAAATACTTTTTTTTCCAAATGCATATGAGCTAGTTTTAAGGTGGCAAGGGTAGACTTATTTGTTATTCTTGAGAAAGCTGTGTTCTACATTCTCAAACCTTATAAGGCATAATTGTAAAAATATTTTGCCAGTTACGCAACCATTATGTTTCTTTATAGAGTTGCACAAAGTAACGTATCTGTCAAAGTTTCAAAGCAAGATCAAAACAGTCTGTATTTTGAAGAAAACAAACTTTTATTGTCCACGATTTGTCAAGAAATGTTCTCAGTTAACATAGCAGTAATTGTTTCTTGACTTAACATAGCAGTCTGTTTTCAGACAAACTGAGGCCTTGAGGATATATTCGCTGAAGAAATTCAGCTTCCCGTGTGATGTATATGTTACTAGTTTGGTTCTGTGATAGCAAATCAACCATTGAAACACTAAATGGTATCTGATCAACTTTTATGTTTTATTACCTCCAACAAAGTATTATGTATCTCATTTCGCTCAGGACAAATGTGCAGTAAAGTATCTGTTCCGAAAACAGTCAAGGTTTCAGTCCCCGTGTATGAGAAATCACGACAAACTAAAACAGCTTCAAGAAGCTAGCATAACAACTTTAGAATTAACAATTTAATTTTACGTTTACCTTAAAACAACTGGACAAGCTTCATGTTTGTTACTTTGCATGTTAAGAGTACTTGGCGGCATCCTGAACTTTCTGGATAACATGTAGGACCTTCTTGAGTGAACTACTGGACCTTTCGTTAGTGGACTGACAATGAAGGAATCAAACTCTTTTAAATCCACCTCATCCACTTCCAGAACTTGTCCCACGTACCACTAGTCATCATACACTGCAGTAATGAATAACTCTACATCTGGTACCTGTCTTGGATTTACTGGATTGTCTGGTCCAGACTCGATTATTTACAGACCTCCGTCAAACAAACATTACCACTAAGGTGAGACGTCACATCAACATATCTAAAAAAATATACTCTAACAAGGGTATTATAATTCATCTCTAACGGGTAAGTTCCTAGTATGGTGATCTACCTTCAGCTGTTGGCGATCTATAGCCTATTTTTATATTGTGTTTGCCCCCTATAGTTAAAATGTTTTAGATTTAATTACTAGTTTTACATGTATGTCTGTGATATTCTAGATGTTTTACTGTCCTTTGTCGACAGGTTTTTATAATACATATATATTCCATTTCAATGTCAACTGTTCTCGTCACGGTACGGCTGAAATATTGCCGATGTGACGTTAAATATTAAATCACTCGCTCACTATAACGGGTAAAGTCTGTGCAGTTTGTGTTATAAGGGTGTTTGGTAATGCAACTGAAGATGGTGAAAACGCAATAACATTTTTCCCTCGGGGTAATATAACTTCAACCTGGCTTGTAATCTCAGTGAACGCAGTTTTTAATCAAGGATTCATTACCAAAGACCATAATAGAAAGTTCAACAAACTAAGACGCAAAATAATATACATGTTTTTTTTATATTCTTAGTATACTTTAATTTCAGTACATTGACACTATCAAAGTACACATGGTATGACATTTCCCATGTTTTATGACATTAATATTTTAACAAATGGAAAAGTCGATGTCTGAAAATTATTGTGTTGCCAGCGAGTGCGAGGTTCCCTGCGTGGATTGAATGGCATGAAGTTTATTACCTTATTTATGACGAGCAGTTTTCTTGTGTACACAGCAGGTTACAGATTAAACCCTGTTTCCTTAATGAAACTAGGCTGTGTTTCCGTATTGTTCCCAAGCGTTTCCACATGGCATTAACACTGATGAAAAAGTTGGATGATCGATGGCATACACATACTGGTCCATATCAGTACAAGCTACTGGTTAGTTAGAACAGTTTTGACAGCAGTAAGGAAAGCAAGGTAGATCTATCGAGTGAAGACGATCAATCAAATGTCAGAAGGGAACATCAATTGCTGATTTGCAACGTATAGCATTCATTTTCGATTTCGGTGGAAGTAAACTTTAATTAGGCTATTTGTTATACTATGCTTTTGATTCCGTACTTCCAACTGAAAATACATCCGATGAAATCATAAAACGATGGCAAGTTTTGTTCATGCAGGTATATTTTAGGTGTGACTGTAGGTGGCGTGCACCTGTAGAACGGAATTAATGCTGTCGGGAAATACACCAATTAGAGCCTATGTTATATGTGCATACGCGAGAGTTATTCTTATATTAAATGTACCAGATGTAGATGGAAGCTTACCATTGTCAATGCGTTGTTGCTTGCATTGTCTTAACGCCAAACTTTTAGCCTAGAAGAAAGGCAAAACGTGTTTTCTTAACAAATACATGTTATGTATAATTGTACATATTCTAGAGCGTCTAGTCTTCCCATTCGATATTGAACAAAATGTCAGTACTAACCAGCAAAACCTAAACGTCGCCTTGCTGCCTCTTTTTCCCTTGAGAAGTTGGTCTGAGCCATGAGGATATGATATCTAAATTTTCTTGATCCGGTCCTTTCCTGTGTTCTGAATGTACGTGTATTTCCTTTTCTCGAAATTATGCTAGCTGAAAGCTTACTTGCGCTTAAAGTCCACAAGACGTTAGAAAATATGTTTCAAATACCCCAAGTGGTCTGGAAGACTGTCACCTAAACCGACGATATCACCAATGGATAAAAGACAAAGCGACAATATAACACCAACTAGACGTTCTTCCATCTTCCGTGATGTTGAGATGCACTCACCAAATGTGAAGCAATTATATCCATGAAAGCTGAATGGTCTGACTGCCACTGCACTTTGTTCTTCCTCCTCGGTGATTCGTTGCTGGTTATGACCGGACATCTGTTTCCATCCATCAAATTTATTGTTGCTTGGATGAGGGGAATAACATACGAAATTTTGACAGTCCAGGACAAAGTTTGACCTAGTGAGTGTGGTTTTACGCCGCTGTTAGCAATACTCCAGCAATATCACGGCGAGGGACACCAGAAATAGGCATCACACAATGTACCCATCTGTGGAAGCGAACCCGGGTTTTCGGCGTGACGAGCGAACGCTTTAACCACAAGGCTATCCCACCGCCCGCGACCATCTTTGAGCTTACGCAAGACAATATTTGGTGACCAAGGTATTTGAATAAAACACTACTTGCTAATGACTTTGTATGATCGTTGCTTATGTACCATGTCCACTTATAAAATTATGTAAATCATAATGTTAGAAATCCAATACTGTCGTCAATGGACACCGCGTGGCATTGTTTTGCCTTTAGAACATCAAGATTAATTAACGGGACACCATGTGTTATGCAGGATTGACATTTGTCGGAACAGGTACTTCTGGTAAGTGAGGTGAGGTGAAATTGGGTTTTACGTCATGCTTGAGAATATTTCGTTCATATGACAACGTGCATGCGTGTGTATGTGTATGTGCAGCTGCTTGTACTAGCCCAGATTAAAGCTGGTTTTATAGTGCTAGCCCACTGAGATATCATGCCGCAGTGAAGCATGAAGTCTGTATGACTGTATGAAGTCACGTGTCATGGGTTTTCGCTTGAGCCTCTCTTTTCATTATCACGTGACTGTGTAAGAATGGCGACATTGTACGCGGGTCAAAGATTTGCTGGTACTGAAGACACAGCTATCATGATATCATGATGAAGCTCACTATAGTCCACTCAAGATATCCCATTTCTCAAACGAGAAGTAAGATACATTATTCATGGTATTCTATTGAAAACATCGTTTGTTCTACCTTGAGTCTGAATTCTTTGTTACAGTAAATATGGATAGATTTAAGAAATACAGTTCGCTTTACCACCATGTATAGTGTAATAAAACACTCTTTCGCCCTGAACTATTATAGTTAAAGTACGAGGACGCTTGCGTCCGAGTGCTTTAACGTTATAATAGTTCGGGGCGAAAGTGTGCTTTATTACACTAATCCGCATTTTAAATTCAGCTCTTCACGGGACATCTGTACGTAAGAATGCAATAAATTGCCTACATATTGACCAACAATTCAAAGGCTGTCAATACCAGTTCAGAACTGTGAACCGATCACCCCAGTAAGAGTGTGCAACAGAAACTGATTCAACTACTCGAGGGAAATTAATAGAGAAGTGAGTGTTGTTTTACACCGTTTAGCAATATTCCAGAAATACCACGGTGGGGAAATCAGAAATGGGAATCCCACATTGCCCGCTTGTATGGAATCAAACGTGAGTCTTCGGCAAACCTCTTACCGACAAAACACGGTGAGTTTCTTATCGGATGAGTTTGGCAAAGAGTTCGACGTCCTTGGTCGTGATAAATCAAGAACACATATCCCAACATCACTGCATTGTCACAACCCGTGAATATCCGGGTTAGAATTGATCTTCAGAATCTCATACTTGTCGTAAGAGGTGACTTTAACGGGATCGAATGGTCAGGCTCGCTGACTTGGTTGACACATGTCATCATATCCCAATTGCGTATATATCGATGCACATGTTGTTGATCACTGGATTGTCTGGTCCAGATTCAATTATACATTTCAGAACACACACAGTTAAACAAAACATACACCAACCATTGTTTCCGGGTCACAAATGTCAGGTTTCTGTCACAGCGTGTTGCCAAAAAAACAAGAGATGATCATTGTCAGTGTGAATTCAATTAATGGTCATATTTTAATACCACGTACATTGAATCTACATTTCTCACAGTGCTACAATAGAATTATCAATTACAGTGGAAACCTGATCAGTAAAATTTCAAGGGACTTGCCAAAATTGTTTACTTATCAGGTATTTTACTTATCCAAACTTATAAAAACCTGCAAATGACAACCATATGCATGTATATGTATGCATATTTAACAATAAACAGCTTATCAGGGCTGGCCTCCAGTTGTCAGTGTATTGCCAACTGCTTGACGCCAGCGAGCTGTAAGTAGGATGTTTGTTTGACTGGAGACTGACACGACAGCCCCTCATGTCGGATATGTGGTGATCGCTAATTTAGTTATCTAGTATCTTTTGCTAAGTAATTTACTTCCAGGGACCGTGAGAAGACGTTTAGTTAAGCGGTATTGTTTACTTATCCTAGGTTCGATAACCAGACTCTAATAGTGATAATTAATGAAGAAATTTGCGGGGACCAAAGAAAAGTGTTTACTTATCAGATCTGTTTAGTAAAGCGGTCTTTACTTAGGCGGTTTGCACTGTCGTAATAGTCAATAAACATGTGTGATATGCTACATGGTTCAACTTCAGGAAAGCACAAGGTGAAGTTGAACCGTAAGTAGAGTGTTATATGTATCTATGGAATATATTATAAAGAACATCTAAAACAAAACCTTTGAAGATACTTCATTGGGCTGCCGCATTTCCCTTGTGAGTCATTCTAGAGTACTACCATTGGTTGGAACACACCAGGGACATCTTCCTCGTTCTGTGAT